TTTAAGAGAACAATATTGTTTTCAATTAGATCTCGTCAAGCTTAACTCTACTATACATAACTTTACAAATAAGAATTCAAATATAAACCAATCATAGTGTTTTGTCTATAGGATAATAAGATGGTGAATATAAATTGTGCAATTAGTCATAATAATAATGATAATAATAATAATAAAGTAAATAAAACACGTTTTTAATGAAGATGTGATAAGATAAAGAGATGATAAGAGAGGGCTTGAAAATATAAGTAAGGGGTGGTGTAGAAGTCATCAGTTGGTTATGTCTTAATAGGCCAAGGGAGGGATAATGACTGTACGAACTTCTTTTGAATGCATAGTTTAGTTTTAATAGTCCGAGTGGCCTATCGCCTCACCTGTGTGCAGTAATATGAATTCGGTGTACTGTCTGTGTCTTATACTATGCCACTGAACGAATTCTTTATACTTCCTTAGTGTCATTATAATTAATGGTCTGGTAACAATCATGTCGCAGACTCCTTACAGTGTCAGGTCGCTCTAATTACATGTTTGTTTGTTTAATTGCCTTACTGGACTTAATCAAGAAACGGCTAATTGGTTGACTTATATACTTATAGGTCACAGAAGTTTGTCACATTGCGACATATCTGCAAAGTGCGTGTTACCAGTCTTTTATTTTCTTCAGTCCGTTTTAAAGGTGCAATTGCGTTTGCTTGTTTTTTAAGTTATCTATTGTCAAATCCGTCAGTTTCACTTCTTGTGCTTTTTGTACAGTTTTTATGAAGCACACATCGGTAATGTGTCTGATAAAATTCTTTGAGGCACCTTTTACTAAGTTTATCAATAGAGTTTCTTAGTAGGTAATTTGAACTAAGGAGTTTCTAGTGGTTTGTTAAAGAATGGAACTAGTCGATGCTAATCAACTTTTATTTCTCTCCGTGGCTTCTGACCAGCAACGTAATTTAACGACATAATAAGACATTGGTATGTCTCGCTGTTGGTAACTCAAAGTTGCTCAAATTAGGCTAACCCAATGACTGAATTAGTTTTCGTTTATTGCTACTATTTAGCTACTTCTCTGGATGTTAAATGGATTTTTTTAAAACCTTCGAAGTGATTCTGATGCTTTAATGGTAAGAGTTCCGTGTTGTAGGCTGAATAAATTTGAGTCTAAATGCACATGAAATCTTAACTTTCTCTGAGTCTGCTAAACAGTAACCAGAAAAATTCCAAGTAGATACATTAGTCCAAAGTACAGTCTCTAAACATTTTCAAAAGGCTGAATAAAAGATAGATTTTATGCCAACCTAGTGACGAATTGTCTCAAAGGTCCAAAGTAAACTGTGACATTTTGATATTGTTCGTCAACATCAATTTTGTCACATTCCGATAGAGAGTTACCGAGTAAAATGAAGTGCCCATTCACCTCAGTTATTTACATTTTGCAGAAGTGTGTTTGTGTGCTGTAGTCGTCCTAAACCTATCAATCATAACGACAGAAACTCGAAATGGAAGTGACGAGTTGGGTACCCGAGGCTGACGTTCAGCTGATCGTGTATGGAAAAAATGACAACCTATGGGCAGTCGTGCAGCCAGCTAAAATGACTACAGAGAGCAGAGTGAAATGAATTTTTGCCGTTGAAGCTTTATTTTCGACTGGGAAACCAAGGGAAGAATAAGAATAATAAATAGGTATAGCATATGTCTTTCAAAGTTTTTTAGGAACAAGAACATAATTTTATCTTTGTGGCGTGAACTTACTCAAAAAAGAAATCCAGATCACTAATCATTATTAACTAGCGTCTACTCGAGTGAATTCACATGGTTATGAGCTTGTTTCCAAGTGCTTCACAAATCTTTTATTTAGTCTCTACATTTAATTCCTTCTGACCACATTTATCTTGTGTGGTTGGAGAAGACTAGTTGAAGTAACAAGTGATATTGTATATTTACATAAATTGTCGAGAAATAAAGAAAAGATTTTTCTCACCGTCTGTTTATCTAATGAACACAATCTAAAGTGGATGAAAAATACACAAAAACAAATAATAAACTATTTTAGTCAGTCTTCCTTCAGTGAACAGACTGATTTTTTTTCTGAGCACAATTATACTACAGTTTAGTGATTGACAAATAATTTTTATGCTTTCCACTTTTTGTGAACTCTTACAACAGTACTGCAAATTTAAAATTCATTTCTGATAAACTAAAAATAGGTAGAGATAGTTTATACCTACAGTGCCGTTTATCCTACACAGCTGATGCTGAATATATATATATATATATATATATATATATGATACGGCAATACAATTCTGTCATTCCAATGTACTTGAGTTGCCTTTTCCGGTAGTCTTTTTATGACATATTATCTTAATATACTTCATAGGTAGCATACTATTTTTCATGATACTGTGAAGAACTGGTATTTGTATTACGCATTTGTTTAAATTCTATGCTCATAATCCCTAATGAACTAACTAGCTTGCTTGTGTAAGAAGTCATCTGCAGTTCAATCGTCACTTTGATGCCATAACAAACAACTGTATACTAAATGATAAATATTACTCAGCAAGAAATCCTGAACCTAGGTTGCATATCTGCAAATCTCATATTTCCTATTGGAACCATGACTAACACTGTACATATCTGTGCGGGAACTAATATACCTTTCTAATCTTAATTGTGTTAGTCGAAATCCCTCTTTCAATTACGCTGAGTGGCTACAAAGTTAATTGACGTGAATATGTTTAACACTTTTGCATTCTCTTTTATTTTATCATAAATCTTAGACCACAACACATAGAATACTCCCTTGATAAGTTTTATTAAGCCCACTCAGAACTAGACTGTTACCTTGCTAATCATGTGGTTAAGGTTTTGTGAATATATAAATTTTATTTGTATTTGAATTCATCCTTTTGCACATACAAACGAAATTCATTGAAATGTTAACCATATTGTGTTACTATAGCTTTTTGACTACTGAGGTCATTCATGGGCTATATATGTGCAAACCAAGTCCACTTTTAACAGTTTGAAAAAATTTGGGCATTGGGTATATGATATTCATCATAATAAAGGTTTTTGTATTTCCCAATGAATGAAAAACAAAACGATATTGTTTTTACTGACGTTTCGCTATTCAATGCTAATAGCTTTATCAAAGTATTATTAAACCGGAATTTACAAGATCTCAGAATATATACACCAAAGAGTTAAGAAGTGAGAAAATAGACTTAGGTCAAGTTAAAAGGACATATTGAAAGTCAAAATAACAATGAAGATCACTAAACTAAATAACAAAGGTTAAAGTACGTCTGTTATGATATCAAAACAAAGTTTACTAACTTGATCATCGTTCGTCAGTCTGGGGTCATTTTTCGTTGTCAAGTTGGTCAATTGGTAAAGATAACAAAACCAAGTGTAGATTGTTGGATTTGATCAGTGTGTAAAATTATAAAAGTAGTGTGTGTTTACATAGTGAACTTGCTTATCACATTCGTGTTGATTTTGTCACTTCATGGGGAGGGAGGTGTTGTAACCAGGTCAGATTCTGTTTTAGTCCATCATTCCTATTCAGTTCAGGCAATTTTGATTCCACTTGATATGAAGTGCTTCTGATATTAAACGTTCTTTGTGATTTCTGAAACTTTTCTGGATTATTTCAATATTGTCAAAATCAGTTTTGTGACCTGATTCTATAGCGTGTAGACCTATGGCTGATGGCTTTTCAAGTTTTGCTAGTTCAACCGGATTTCTCAGTGGTCGAAGAGATGCTCTATGGTGTTCATTTCTTCTGATTTTGATTTCTCGAGATGTTTGTCCGATGTATGTCGCATCACATTCCAGGCATTTTATTTTATCGACACAATTAGAGAATCTTTAGGGATTTTGCCTTTTATATAGACAAGCTTGCTTTGCAGTGTGTCTGATTTTTTGAAGAAAACTCTGATTTTGTGCTTATTGAGTTCTCTTTTGGTATCGTCTGACGTCTCTGCTCTTTATGGAATGACGACTGTTGATGTCCATGTTTTCGGAATGCGTTTTCGGCCATACTTAATGTCTGTGTTGACTTTGTTGTTGAAGTTCCTCAACACGTGTATTCATCTATTTAGGTTTGTATGCATAAGTAATTCAAGACGACGAAGTGTGACTGCAAACACTGAAGAAGTATTGCGGTATTGTAGCATACAATGAAGTGTACAGGCAAATGCTTATAATTTATGATTCAATTTAAAATAGTAAAATAAGCTGTTCATATACAGATGAATCACAATGACATGGCGATAGCAACGTTTATATCTAAACAATTTTGAAATCTATCTAAATAAATACCATAGCCTTAAAACTGTAAATTGTAGACAGGTTTGTAATGTTAAGGTATTTCATTTGAGGTAACTTTTACTGCTTTTGATAAAACTTAGTGCATAGGCACTAAACATAATTGCAGTACCGGGACTCCTCTTTCTACGTCATTCCAAACTATTTCATTCTAGATCTACTCTGCTCGCTATATGAATTCTCCGCAAATGAAAAGTTTTTTGTTCAGTCGGAATTTGATAATCTCCTGAAATGAATGAGCAATACTTTATGTATAAATAGTATCGTTCTTCGTAAAAGATTTATCAAAGTGAAATTACGAAGTCATGAACTAAGAAATCAAACACAAGTCAGAGAGAGAGCGCTTGGATTTCAATAATGTGTTCACAATGAGATGCTTTGTACTTTCGTTTAAAAATACTAAGGAAAAAATATGTGCTAATACACAGGGCATCTGAATAAAACTTGGTAGGTTTCCACTATAGCTTGTTTTTAAGTAACATCTGAAATAGTGCTGGTACCTGAAGATCATTATCATTACCATCATCAGGTAGTTAGTATTTTTGACATACTTCAGTGTAATTTCTTACTATTTCGCTGTACATCTCAGTTTTCAGTTTCATTTAAGTTCAGTAAAAATTCGTTTATTCATTTATATTTTATTGCTCATATATTTTTGTCTGTCAAATTGTAAACAGAATGAATCATTATCGGAGAAGACAATCGGGAATATTAAAAGTAAGTGTAAAATTCAGTGTATTATATGTATTCACCTGAATTTGTTTTTTGCTTTGTATATTTTGTTTGACAAAAATCAAGTAAACCGTTAATTGTTATCGTATTCACTATTAAAGTAAAAGCAAGTAATTATTAAACCTCGCCTAGATTACTAGGTCACTAGATAATCTTGAAAGATGACTCTGGTGGTTATATTGGTCACGCAATGTGCTCACTTTCCAAACGCATCTTTGGACATTTTGCAGCATGGTTAGCAAAAGGACAATGCAAGACAGTTACTAGCTCAATTTCCTGGCAATTGGTGAACTCAAGCCAGGCAGCTCCAACAGAGTCTTCTTTCAAATTTATCTACGGAGTGAGGCCAAATAGTATAAAAGGCGTCAAGTTTCGGCATTTGTGTATGGTGTAGGCGTTGGCGATTCATCAATACAACTCCGAACTGTGTTTACAGAAAAAAATTGTTATTGTATTCATTCATTCACCTTTTCTAAAGAAAGTGTTTTCTATCCATACAAATTTGCTGTAACGACGATTATTGGTGGCTCTGATTTCTTCCAGACTGACTAGGAATTATGCACTGCATTTATGTCTAATGTCACACCAATGAATTTCATTTATACTAGTATTTCGCTTGATTTTAAAACTTGTGGTTTCTGTAGATCAATTGAAAGTCTCAAAAATTTCACTAGAAATATATTAGTGTTTTATGAGTCTTGCATGGATGGTTTCCTACAGTACACTTATTCAGAAATTTGAACAAAATACTCAAACCCATAACTCCATAATATATAAGATTTTATTTTGATATATCACGCAGTGTTGTACATTAATATTTACTGATGACGTTTCGAGCACACATTATTGCTCATAATCATATCAAAATAAAATTTTATCAATAATGGAGTTATGCTCTACCACGGTGGCCAGGTCTTACACTTATATCAATAATTCAAACCCATAGATGTCATTTGGTTTTCATAGTAAAACTAAGGCGTCCAGTCTACCAATAAGATTCTATACTGTACCTCCCTATCTTTTGATTTGACCTTTTGATCACTTATATTCAGTTTTAATGCTTCCAAGGCATAGGGATTTAGAAGTACTGATGTATTTTTTGCATTCCTGACAAGAATTATACAAAACCACTATTAAGAGCGATACTTGTTTGAGAGGTCATAAAAAATTATGGCCGTACGCTATGTCCGTCCCATTTAAGCGGCATTATTGTCTCTCAGATAAAGAAGAAACCTAATGGTTCCGGGTTTGATCCTTGGCGGTGTTGTAAGCGAGCACTGCTCAGGAGTCCCGAAACAACTGTCTTGTGCTCCCTGGTTTTCAGTGACCTCTCTAAATGATGGTGGTTAGTGAGGAATATGTACCAATTAAAATTTATCCGAAATCCTCACGAATCCTATAATCTGAAAAAAGAAATGCGTTAAAATCGAAAGTATTTTATTTTACATGACTATGTAGAATCCAGATAGCTGCGTAAGCCTTTTAATACAGGAATAATCTAGGAATAAATGGACTTCATTCAGTTTACATTTCACATTAACACAAGACTCTGAAAGATATAACAATATAATTTGTGGTAAGTTGGTGTTGTCAAAAGACACTGAACACATACGAATAAATTTTCAAGTATTGGTTTTGTAGGGATTTTCTTCTGATTGGTTGGAAGATTTCATCATGAGCTGACATCAGTTCGAGAACCATTGAAAAACCTCACAGTACGCTTCGAACCCTGGTGGGTGCATTCTGTGAAGAGTCCCAAACTAAGATGAAACAGCTGTCCAGTACTCACTGCAGGTTTTCCAATGGTTCTCTAACTGATGTCAGCTCATGATGAAATCCTCCAATCAAACATAGGAATAACTTATTGATGTGATCATGAAAAGTCAATTGGATGATTTTCAGTACTGGCCTATTAACCTTTGACGATTTCCTTGTAGGAATTTGGTAAAAGAGTATATCACTCAGCAGTTTATTGTTATCTGTGTACTATGGGTTTTATGATGGGATGCAATAATTAGTTTAATTCAGTGGTTTTTGGGGGAAATAATCCGTGCCAGAGTGGCTTTCACCATCATTTCAAGTCAAGTGAAGAACTACAGTAACAAAAGAGCAAATACCACTGAACAGCTGATTCATACCAACTTAAGACCTTTCAATAGAAAGGTAGCATTTAACTTGATTGTGTAGTTAGCTTTCAGTTGACCATCTGATTCACAATGAATTCCAAAGAACAATACTAATGAGAACACTGGGTATGCAGACGATGTCTACTCATAATTCATGCAATTCAAGTATTTTATTACGTCAGCAACAGAGAGATTTTAAACTTAAAGGTTCATTACAACTAGAAGTCGCTTATAATGGTAAATGAAATTTTTCAGTAACTCAACACCTGTAACACAGATCTTCAAGTTATCCTACTAAGTAACTGGTTGAGAATTAACCTGGCTATTGACTGATTTTGAATCCTAAATAACACACGTGTAAAGCGGTGATCAGCACTCTTCTAATGTGAATATTTTACATATACAAATATTGCCACTCAAATTTATTTATCACACTCATTTCTCGAATGATCTTTTTTGCAGTCAGGTGGATTTGTTTTTATGTAGAATTTAACGTAAGAGCACATTTGTAATTATGATCTGTACTTCTAAAATTGTAACAACAGAAGACAAGGGCCAGGCAACAGATCGTTTATTAAGGAAATCAAAGCATATTTATCTATTTTCATGTACATTATTACAGATTAGTTAAGCAAACAAACACAGTCTTCTGATTGGTTGTTTTTCATTTAAAGTTAATCTTTCATCTCTTTGTGACTGTTTCTTGAATGTCAGATCATCTATATGTTAACTGTATGCGCCTACGCAAAGTCTGCTGTGGTCGGTTTTGAATCAGTCTTTGTTCACATTTTCTCACGACAAATCTTGAGAACGTAAACATTGACGTAAATTACTGTCTACCAATTTGGCTAGTAGACAGCTCTCACCACAAAATGACAGCATTATCACGATTAGTAACTTATTACTGTATCTCTTATAGGCTTTATATCTAAGCGTCACCCTTTACAAATCTGTATTTGATAATACATTTTCTTCGTTATTTTCCTTTTTATAGTTGCTGATGATAACAGTCAAAACTACGCAAATCAGGTTCGAGCACGTTATGAATATACACCAAAACAACCCGATGAACTGGAATTACGCGTAGATGATATCATCCAAGTATTAGACCGTAATCTTCCCGATGATGGTTGGTGGAAGGGTAGAAATCTGCGAACAAATTTAGTCGGTATGTTTCCCGATAATTTTGTCGCACCAATGAATGGGTCGGTCAGGGAAATGGATGAAAATAAGCTACAGGTATGCAACATAATTAAAATTCCTGTTATAACACATGTCATTGACACTTCGTTATTCCTCAAACACCATAGTCGGTCACACACGCATTTCTTCTCTGAAGAATTCTTTTTCGGTCTTGTTGAGAAATTTAATACTTCTCAGGAGAGATAAAGTATTATTTGCATTTTACTACGCTGATCAGATGTTGAATAAGTAAAATCGAAGGAAAGGTGACTTCTATCCTTCCCGATTCATTCAAATTATGAAAGTCGTGTTACTGTTCACTCAGCTGCCCATCTTCTCCTCATCTCTTCTGTGTATTTTCCATAGCTTTATGGTTTTGCTCAGTTTCTCTTTGTGCTTTTGCCTATCTTAATTTCACGTTTGTTTTATGTGTTTGTTCATGGCGACTGACTGGCTGATTTTTGAACTATCTAAAATTATATCTGTTTTATCCTAAAAATTATGTTTAAACACGACTTCATTACACATGAAGCAAAACACAGTCCACGACGACATTTTTCCTTCATTTTTTCCTTAAAATGCATAGCAGTAGGTTGGTAGCCATTTAGAAATTTGTGTAAGCTCTTGTTGAGATCCAAGAACATAATCGGAAGATTAAAACAACAAGAAACGGACAAAAGTAGATGCATTATGTTGGATGGAAATTTAGGTGGCCCAGTATCAGGCCCAGTGTCAGCAACGAAGTGTGTTAGTTTCAAGATTAGAATGCCTTAAATAAGATAAATGAGGTATTATCACGTTCCTCTGACTAGTATCACCATAATGTCACTGAATGCAAAGATGATAGACTGTTTGAATATCAACAAATATTTGCTAGAATTGGACTGCAAAAGTGTTTATTTTTTTAAATTAATTTAGCTGTTAATTTTATATTGCTTCTGAAATGGAAATTGCACTTTTGCTTTGATTGTTTTCAATGTAGTTTTAAGAATATGTTATCACCACATACACGAATTCTTGTAAAGTTATCCTAAAGTAATTGAAAAGTCTCTGATTTCTTTTTCAACTTCATACTCGTTCTTTTTCACTTTCGAGTACGTGTTACTTGTTCAAAAAACAATTATTTATTGTCTTATCAGTGTTAACGGTGTAAGATGATACTCTGTCTTATGGAAAATAGATTCAAAAACTAAAATATTTTCCAGTGCACTTTCATATCTTGGTTTTACAGATGAAGAGTTTTATTTGTATATCGATGAGCTCTAGATGACTTCATGGGATTGAGAAATGAAAACTTACTCAGGTGAAATGAAACGCAGCGATAGGCAAACTGATTTTCAAAAGCACAATGGCGCTAAAAAGAAATTAATGAAACTGTTCGAAATTAGTTGCTATTCAGTTTGTTTGAGGTATATTATTTTTCCAATGAAAATCTTTAATTTGTCTAGTAAGAATTATTATTAGAAGTCAGCTTGTTTGGGTAGGAGAGTGTCTCAATAAATCAAAAGGAACTATTAAATAGATTTTGTTCATTGGGGTGTCCTATCCAACTGCTGTTTTCGACGTCGCTGTCGTTGTTATACACTGATGAATCCCAATGATTGACTCCATTATAAAGAATAATAACAATACAAAAGAAAGACTGAAATACATTCGATAGTTTCGATAGCTGGTATGCTTGATAGTTTACCTAACATGTTGAATAATTTACTGAATTATACACAGTGGCTTATATGACTGAGAGACAAAACCTTTTATTCGCCTTTACATGATAATTTAGTCTCAATAAACTAACAACACAGCACAACAGATGTAAGCGAACCTGAGATAAACTGCGAAGAAGCAGAGTTATTGATTTTACCTATAATGAATAATAATTTGTAGTATTTACATGTACAAATGTGTATAAGTAACGTCGTTTGCTTACCTGTTCTGTATGAAATATGTTTGTAAGGCAATCATTATTACCATTAATAACACAAAGTTATTTATGTTAGCTAATATGACGGAAAATTTCGCTTTGTTTCACCTCAGTGCTAAAAAACAATATTTGTTTGCTCGAAAAATTCTATGAAACCTAAAAATCGATTGATAGTATAGGTTAGTTCTCTTGTATATTTATGAACTACTAACTAATAAGTTGCGAATTCTGAGAGTTAGACACAGAGAGAGAGAGGAAAAAGAAAGGGAAAAATAAGAGCAATATGAAAGCAAGAGTGAAAGAACATTATCGCAGTTTTAAAAGTGTTACACGTTCATCAATTATTCTCTAAAGGCGTTTACTGTTGTCCGTTATTAGTCATCCTGTTTAACTAAGCATAACACGCTGAGATGAAAGGCGTTTCCGTTTCTCTGTTTGTCTTTACACGTGCAGTTGTGTTTAACTCTCATCAAAGCAGTACGTATAGAAATAATAATTATATTAATAGCTATGTTTTGACCAATGAATACTCACTCTTACATAAATTATATTTAGTTTCACTACCTTGCAAAAAATAAAACAGTTTGTCATAATGAAACTTAGGATTCTGAAACGTTTCAGTACATATGGAATACTTCATAGTCTTTTACAAATACAGGTTTCATTTGTCCACGTCAAACAGTTGGTTTACAGTATATTAAACTAAATAAAGCCTTTTTTCATACATAAAAGTCCCCTGGGTTTTGCCAAGTGTAAAGATGATTTCTTTCATTTCAAAAGCGCCTTAAAGGAGCATGCCTGCTATACGTGTGTGTCTTTGATCCTTCACATTTCTTCAAGACGTCTGTAGTTAATAGCTTTTCACTGAAAGAGCATACTGTGCAAACTAATCTCAAACCATAAGAAATTTCAGTACTCCGAAAAATAATAAAGATCACAATGACTAGTCTCCATGTTTTAAGCTCATACAAATGCAGCATGGAAATTATAATTACTGGTGGTACTTCCAACGTTTATATCTTGAAGAACTCATTTAGTGACTGTGAATATAGCGAAAGTTATACTTTACCAAACAAATGTCCTCCCCAGTAAATTATTGTATTCCACACATTGGATATGTATCAATAAATTTAGTCACACATAAATGAGCTGATCTGTCATTTCATTATGAATTAAAAAGCCTTCAGCTGTTTTGCGTCTTGTGCGCTTTCGCCATTCATATTGCAATTGTTTGTTATTGAACAAAGACTCAGAGATCGACCTCTCCCTCCACCTAACTGTAGTTCAATCCTACCCCATTGTGTGCTAAGGTCTGCGGTGCGATGGCTTGTTTTTGTCTAAATTAGTCATTCTTTTAGGGTGTCATTCTATACTTAGTTAAATTCCTATGTTCAGATAATCTAGCCGGCATTGGACAAGCGGGACTTATCTATGTATTTTCCTTACAGTCATTGCAAGATACCTTATAGATTAAGTTACTTGTGTAGTTGGATCAATAGGGTCCGTTTGTGGTGTTGTGATACAGACAATGTGTGCCAACGGAATATTATTCTCACATATTCCCACAGTTCAATTCGGCATGAGCAACATAATACAATATATCTATTTGAACACTCTGTTTGCTGTTAGAGTTGGAATATCATTCCCACACTTCAATACTGCAGTAGCAATAGAATAAGATATATCTATTTGATGTTAGAGTCAGAATACATTTCCCACAGTTATATACTGCATTAACAAACGAATGCTATGTTTATGTCTTTTCATATAAACCGAAATCACATGCTCTATGATTGCTTAAAGAATACAAACTGTAGATATATGAACAGCGGTTTGTTCAATGAAAAATATACCTTGGCTCCCATGTCTTACTTACCGTTGTTACACTTTAACCTACAAAGCTTATCTTGGAGTGAGTTTTTCGGTCTAACTGTTACTTTTATCACTGCTTTATTAAGAATCCTAAGTATGGTTTAAACATATTTAAACCTAGTTCTTTTAGGTTATAATCATACTTCCATACTGAATAGCATTTAATGTATGAGATTGGTCTTCGCATGTAGATATCCAGCTTTGACTGTTGATTGAAATCTTTTGGCCACTATGTAGTTACACCAGTCACGCTTTTTTTTATTTTAGTTTTCTACGAATGCATCCTCTCTCTCCAATAAGAATGTGTCTGTTAAAACGATAACTCTTCAAAATGCTAATGGATCGGTAAATGCTAGAAGTCCAAGAAACTCAAATTCTACAGTTAATACATCTCAGTCAAGTTCAATTGTATCACCATCACTTGATACAGGCAGAAATATGAATAAGTCTTTATCTCAAATTCCATCTAGTAAAACTCCTGTTGTTTCGAATTCCGGTCCACCAACCCATAATCAGACCAACAGTTCTATAAATATGATGACGTCAGGTGGACCATTATCGTCGGCGACAAGATCCAACTCACTGGGCGATTCAATAAATAGCAATCAGCTAACTCCAGGGATTAATCCCGGTTTAATACAAGCTGGAAGTAATTTGGTAATTAATAATAGCAAGTGGAGATCGAATGAAAAACAGGATCCATATGATGTGTCGAAATCTCGAAATGAAATTCATAACGGTGGTGAGTCCACAGAAAATTCATTATGCCCGTTTACTATTAAGTTTAAAATAAATGTTGACGTTTCTAATGAGTGTAAACTGTTGAGTCATAGGTTATAATTAAGTATAAAATATGCTCTAGTATGTTACAATTTTTGATCAGCTCATTCAAAGTAATAAGAGACAACCACTAAGGAAGGGCAATATTCTGTAACTTTCATCCGATAGAAGTGTAATTGTGTTGGGATACATAACAAAATTGATATCCCTTGATAGCTTCAGTCTTTAAATCGATTCATGTAACATTGCTTTTAAGAAATGCTTTAGTTTGCAGCTGATGAGAACCTGTGAAATAGAATGATATCATTTTATACTGCAAATCTGGTCTTTCTTTCTCTATCGAAATGCTTTTGTATTGTATACTTAGCAGCCTTGTACTTCAATGCTTTATTCAGAAAAAGATCCACTTGTTTATAGTGGCGGGTACACATTAGCAACGGATACTGATGAGTGCAAATTTATGGATTCTGGTTTCTTGCTGGCTGTATTTCATTAAGACAGAAAAAGATTACCGTCTCTGTCTGGATTCGATAACACCTGCTTATTTTGTTTCTCAAGGTGATGGAGATGGAGTATCTGTGGACAATTCAAATGCACAAAGACTTGTTGGGCTTACAAGTGACAGACCACGGCAAACAGGTCGAAGACTCCCTACAAAGTTATCGAACGCTACCAATCCAGCTCCAGTAAGTGATATTTCCTATAATTAAAAGTATTATAATTAAAGTATTTGTATGATCTGTATTTACCTGTTTGAATGCTAACCACCACCACCACCACAAAAACACTAATTACTACATTCTGACTTTCTCAGATTGAGAATGGACCTTAGTTCTATGCATTGCCTTAAACTTACATGCCCTTCGATGCATTAACGTTCAATAAATCAATTTCCCGTCACCAGAATTATTACATTTTCTCATGATAATAGGTTTCTGGTAGTATATCAAACAAGAACGTCAGAAGTAATAAATATTAACTTACTATGATATATGACCAGTGTATCCCAGATACGGTTGGATGATTCAGATGAACAAAGTTTTTAGTACACAACATTTACTAGTTAAGCACCAATAAGTTTTAACAATGGTTAATTAAAATCACAAAATTGTTTTCCATATTTTCAGTGACTCTAAAAATCCTAATAAATTCAAACTTCATGGTTGCTATAGTCACAGACAGTGGTGCGTGTCAATTTCCTATCTTTGATTGCAGTTTGTTTTTCTAGATAAAGGAAGTGTTGTTTGGGATTAATCTGTACTCAGGAAATAATGATTAAGGATAAGATATTGGTTGAAAATTGTTTATCTTATTGTTGAAGTAGAATTTTAGTAATAATCAGCTAGTTAACAATACTAGAAAACCTGTTTTCGAAATATGTTGTTAGGTGGAATGGCGAAAGCTGTTTTCTTGATAATTTGACTGACAGACTTGTTGAGTAGATCTACCTCAGTCCTAGTGCTATTTTTACCCATAACATTATCTGCAGATATTCCCTTCTGTTTATTTTTGATACTATAGTGATTCGAATTCCGAGTGCATGGAAATATCACAAAAGTTGATTTATCTCACTGTCCGTTATCAAGTATATATATATACTCACTATATGTAGGCTAATCATATATATATATATATATGTATATATATATATATATATATATATAATGATTAGCCTATAAGCGTAGAACTGTGGAAAAAAGATTCCATACTTTAGGAAAGCCCACAAAATATTCTGCCTCAAGTTCCGCCCATATCCCTTTGAGAAACTACTAAGTCCTTTACTTTTCGGAGATTATTTCACTTCTCGTCGGCTTTTAAGGAAACATTTGCCTAATGTACCTAAAGAGTTGTCGCATATTACCTACTGATGACATCTTTACTGTCTGTTTAGCTTTCTTCTTCCGCCACTGTGCGTCGGTGGCACAGCGGTTAGGACTGTTGCAGACCATGCACATGGTCCGGGGTTTGATCCACTGCCGACGCACACCTGATACCAATGGTCGGCCTGTAAAATTTGGGCTACTGATATCACATGCTGAAAATTCGATACTTGTACCAAAAAGTATTGTGTGGAATCAAGCTATGATCAAAAATCTTTGTGAAGACTTTTATTAGGCTCACAGATGGACAGCTTTCGTTTCTTGTTGTGTTAGGAGACTTTCAGACCCATTCTCCTTGCATCAGTTAGCTTGGCTGAAAATTCAGGAATTTGCTGACACTTGTTAACTTCTAGCTGAAAGTTATCAACAGCTTTCACTACTGCGAACCGTTCTCTGTTTCGTCATAGTAGTCTCTAAGATTATAAATTAATAAATATGTTGATTATACCAATCACTGATTTCAGTTCCGAAGTCACAATTATTCTTGGAAACAGAAGGATCTCACTCCTATCATTTGTTTGCCCTTAACAAGTGAGATAAGTGTTTATTGATAGTATCGTAGATCAGTAGACTTCGACTCTGTGGACATATTTGAACATAACTGGAAAACATCAAAAAATGCATTACAATAGTTTCAATGCTAATTTTGTCAGTTCATAGTCTTTGACTCCCTGTCTTAAGTCAGCTATCACTGTATTAAAGTGCTGATTGTATAGTTAATCTGGTTGTAATTTTCTTTTCATTTTTCGACAGTGTGACACTACAGGTATAATGTCAAAAACTAAACTGAGGTGAATAATTTACTATCTTTATGATATTATTATTTGTTTGATTTCTTATTGACAAAATGACGATATTCAAACTAACCGTGAGTTTCTTTTCATCTAAAAGCGGAAACCAAGGGGACAGACTGAAGTAAAAATTCACATTAGATATTCAAAACAAGAATAGTAGCTTCTTTCTAAGGCTGTACAGCTGTAATTCCACAAAAGGCAAAAGTATTATTGTGTAAAAAACGGTAATATGGTAAATAGGATGAAATATAAGACTGAATCAAAAATGGAATGTTAAACAGTTAGTTTCTCCATAGTTACTTAGATGCATGCAAAACATGTAGTCATTGGAGATATATGATAAAACGACTGGGTAATGTGTTTGTGAAATTTATAATTCAGGTTACAAGCGGTGAGTTGGAAATTGCCTTAGTAAATAATTATAAGTTCATCAGGTTGTCATTTTCAAAGGCGCTGATCTTCAGCCAAAAAAAAATATCACAAAGTAAAAATTCTCCGGTTACATCCGATTTGTCCCAGAAATTTACCGCCACACCTATATCATAGTCAGTGTTTTATGATAATACGAAAAATTTGTTTGTGAAGAAATATACGAGTGTCATAAACACTTACTGGTTATTCTTCTGCTCTTAGATTTCTCTCAGTCGAATTGATGTATGCATAGGAGAGAATATTGCAAAGTGAATTGTTGATGAATTAACCACTGAATGGTATGCACATGAAAGCAGTATTGATTAAGAAACATCTGAACAATCATGATCCAACTTATGAGTCCAATAGTTTTACCCAGTTTTCATAATTGATACGTTTGCGTAGTTATAACAGTTTTTCAAAGACAATGGACACCGAGGAATTTCGGACAACCATTTTTTTCCTCGTATTGTATTTACAGACCAACTTATTCAGGCCTTTAATACTGCTTTATAAACCTCACTTAATCTGTCATTAAATACGTATTTTTTAAAAGACCTGTTTATATTCCGGTCTTCTAAATTTAGGATATGACTAATTCAACAAATGTTTCCAGTAGAAATCACAATGTGACATCCGTATCAAATGATATGCAAGTGTATGATGCACCAATAAACAGGAGCAGCGTAACCTGCTTATCTGATAGTCAAACTAACCATGAAGGTAGTAATGGCTTAATAAGATTAGATCAATCTGCAAATTCTAGTGAATCCACAGTCAAACAACAAGGGCGTACGAACAACCATGCTACAAATCATACGCGTACAAGTGAGTTAATAAGATACATTTGCAAAATAATAATCCCATTAAATTCGATAACCTATTTCTGAAGAAATAATTTTTTGAAACTTTGAAAAACAATATTTAAATGAGAGATTAGGTTGTTGTTGGTAGTTAGTTGTCTGGATCATTTCACAGAGTTAATAGTGTCGAATTTCAAAACTCATATCACTACTTTCGTTATAAATTCGTCTGTCATATTGTTATGTAAAACTGGAGAGTTTCGCTTTTTTACTTCAAATAACTTCTTGTTTGATACTAGTTTACAATTCTTGTGAAGAGACCGATGCATATATTTATGAAAATTTTCAGTTATTTTATGTGTTGATAACAGTGAAAAGTCTCAGTTGACAACATAGTGATTCTGTGCTTATTACAAATTCTTACGAAGATTATTCAATCCTTTGACAAGAGATTAGTTTGTACCTTATTTTCGCAATACATCAGCTTTTCTCATACATAACTTTGATAAGCTATCCGAAAATACCCATTGAAAATTAAAACACTAGTTAGTTAAAGAGACTTAATGGTATGAGGTAACTTGAAATGATGCGTTTCTGTGCAGTGCTCTAAGTTATTTCCTTTCGCGGCATCTTACTGAGAAATCAAGCTGGAAAGAACAGTTAGACTAAGGCGTTTATCTCTATTTTAAGTTGACCTTTGGAAATCAAAAGTAATTAGTTCTGTCCGCTTTTCGTAACCTCCGTTAAGCGGTAGAATATGCGAAAGACCGATGCCTGTTTATTAGAAAAAACACATTCATGAACGCTTTTACAACTTCACAGCCTACTGTTATTTAATAGCTTGAATTAAAAAGACCGTAGTGAATTTTATACCTTATGCATTTTTAATTCCTGTATCATTCAGGCTCTAGATGCTGTCAGTTAATCCTTTAGTTAGTCAGTAGTTTTCTTCTTAAAGACGCTAATTACTGTGTTTTTTTTGTTCTACCGCTGAATGATCTCACCAAGGCTTGCTGTTGTATAAAAAGCGTTAAAAACCTATTGAGAAAATGGCTTTCAATCTCCAATTTTCATGAGCATAAATCATGTGGTCTAGCACTTTTCACTGTTTATCTCCCTATAAAATGAATTTTATTTATTCGCGCGTCAATCAATTCAGAAGCAGACTTATGATCCTAGTGAAACCAATCTTTCTTTTTATTACTGGTCACTAGAATACACTCTGACAACATGCAATCAATAGGCACTTCGGGAAAGTTCAACAATGGCGCCCCAAGGGATGCGAACGCACGGGTGACCTTCAGCCGACATATCATAAAAATGAGGATTTTTGCACAAAAAATGACGTGTATTTACAAGAGAATGCTTGCAAACACATTAAACAGGGTATCTTTCTCTGACTTGACTTAAAAATACTTCCCAGTTATAATGAGGAGAGTCAGTTGCTAAGTTAGACTAGTTTCTCCACATGTATTCACTGAGGTGATTGAAGATGAGATGTTTTTGTGAATAGTTTATCTCTCTTATCCTCATGTGCAGTCTTCTCCAAAAGCCCTTGGTTGAGTTATTATGGTTTGCAGTTGGAGGATAAACGACTACAGGAAAATGTGGATAATAAAACAAATTAAAATAAATAAATTTGTCAAGGTCATCAATTCGCTCATTACGTAGTTTCGTTTTGGGCTGCTATAGTTTACAGTCACTATAACATCAACTATAAATCTATCCCTAATCGTAACCCTAACCTTAATCCTAACGCTAATCATAACCCTTATCCAAACCGTTATTCTAACCCTAATGCTAATTATAACCCTGTTCTTAACCATAACCCTAATACCTACCTTAACTCTAGTCCTAACCCTAAAGGGCTATTAACACATTGTCGAAACAGTACTTCAAAAGTGATCTGGGTGAAATTTGCTGCTTAGCTGGTGAAAAGCGTTGATATTTCAGCTGTGATAATGGCAGGTGCCGTTAACCAACGACTAGCATGCGTTCAAGGTTATTGAAGCATTTGCACTCCTGGGATGCCATTGTTGAACTTCGCCGACACTTCAATAAAATACAGTAAGATCTTGATGATATCTGAAAAAATCAAATTTTTCAGGTTGTTTTACAATCGATATTTTGAAGCCTTGAATAACACTACTTTAAATCAGTTGAAAAAATCCCATTAGACCTATGGGACCAAGAGTTTACTTGGTGTTTTGCATGTAATATTTTATTATAGAATATAGACTTTTCTACACGAGATTTTGAGAACGAAAGCCTATGACATAATGAATGTTTAAAATTTCTAGGTAAATAATGGATAACCTTGAAATGGTAGCTTCAAAGATAACTTTTCTACATCAATAAGCCATTTATAGAATATCTTCCACCAAGAGTTGAACTCATATCCTTCGAAACCATAGTTCTGAGATTCCTAGTTAAGCTGCAGCTATCTTCTATAGAAAAGGAATTGTCAGTATGAGGACTACGGCTGAATTATAACTACCTTCCTATTGTTGTTTTTATTAGTAATGTAAAATTACTACACATTAAAGGGGGAATAATTTAGTTCATTTCTTTTAAAATTAGATTTCAGAATTCACTGTGGTAGAATTATTCAGAAATATTTTATACGTTTTAAACTGAATTTATGCTTTAATTACTGAGTCCTTAGAATCTTCGAAAAAAAAACATTGGGTGTGAAAAAATCAAAACAATTGGCATATGATGGAAGCCGATGTATATTTAGTTGCGTAAACCGCTATCTCATCTGCAAAGCAGATAATTGTTTTCCGTATCCCTCACGTTATTATCCTTGAAAGGTTAAAAGAATCTTTTGCTTTTTATCTAAATTAGTTTTCTGTCAAAATAGAATGATGATTAGATTAACACCAGAACTTGATTAAATCGTATCTGAAGAGATTACAGTCACTCCTTATCCATCGTTTTAATTTTGTAAGTTTTTTCGTTGTTTTACGTCAACCTGTTAGTTTGCGTTGGTGGCATAGGGGTAGAATGATGGCCAACCACGCAGGTGGTCCGAGGTTCGGTCCCCGGCCGACGCACTCCTTCACCTCGCCAAGCCAGTAATAAGACTGGTAAAGAGGGGAGGTCGAGTGTAAGGCTAGCAACCCCATCCCGTAAAAATAAACACCGCTGCTGTCGAAACTTCAGGCCCTATGTTCCGCTGGGAACGTAAAGGAATGATAAATAATAAATCCGTCAATCCACACTTTAGGCTTACCAGTAGAAAGGCGTGGTTAAACCCTTTAGTTGATTTCTTTCTAGTTGTCAATTTTTTTTCGCGGATCAGTTGTCATATCGAGTACTACTATTTGAATTTGTTCTTTTCATGTTTGATAAGTGCACCCATAATGCAGAAAAGGTAGTGATATATATATATATATATATGTATATATATATATATATATATATATATGGGTGGCGCAGAAGGAACGGTGAGATAGTTCTGTTTTGTTTTGGGAAATGATAACCATGTCAACAAATAATTACTCTGCATCAGTTGTTTCAAAATTATTCACTTTTACACCCTTGAAGAGTTTTATTCTTTAAAATTTATTTTATGACAAGAACCTACCGTAGTTATTTGCCAGAATAGCGATGTGCCTGATGTGTGGATTTTGCTTGCAGAATAGACTAAAATGCATTATTGTCACCTTTTTGTGTCTACTGGTTATGTTGCGTATCTTATTCTGTGTTTCTGGTTTGGAGTCTATACTACCACCACACAGCAATGAATAAGCACTACTGTATTTCCATACATTCTGCTTTCATCACTTACGACCTTTAACCATATGGCGTTGTCTGAAGACATTTTTAATATGATTTTTCCTGCACTTTTTTGTTCAAATTTAGGCTATAATAGAGAAAGTTTCTTATTTATACAGTATTAATAGTAGTGAACGTAGGCTTGGTTTCGAGCTTCACGATTCCATGTAACGAATCGATTGATCTAATCACTATGCGTTAATTTTCAAGTGTTGGTTTCCAAGGATTTGACTGAATACAATTTTGACCACGAACCATTAGAAACGAGGGAGTACTGGAGATATGTCTCATCCTAGTTTGTGACTCTTCAGCAGCACTCGGCTCTAAACTCCATTGTTCTTAAGCGATTTCTTCATAATAATAAATAATTTGGAATTTTAGAATCTCGAACATTTTATTTTATACTTCTTATAACTAACACTGAGTTTATCGGTTTTACTTCACCTTTTCTTTAACCATTATATTCTGTAGTTTATATATAATTCTAACCACTGATTTATATATTAGATATCAGTGTGTTTTTCAAGGTGAACACATTTTAAATCAAGAGTCAAACAACTATTCGATTGTCTTCTATCATCATTAGGTGTTAAGAGGAATGAATACCAGTTCATGAAAACCTTTTTTACGCCACTGCATTTCACAAACTCACTTATTTAATAAGATTGATGACTTTTATGTAGATTATCTCCGAAGATTGACTGTATCAATATATGACAGATGGTTATAACCGCTTTTAAGATTTACGAAAATAATACAAGCATTGAGACTATTTTTGATACTGGTCTTGTTATAACCGTAATGAATTGAGGTAAACGCGTCGCCAATTTGTTGTAACTGTGGTCGGAATTAGATGAGGAACGTTGTTGCCTTGTTCTGTCTGCGCCTGACTAATATGCCTATCTGCTTCTGGTACCTTCCGATTCAGCGAACCACGCAAATATCAAAAGACAAAGTCTGGTCTCTGACTTTATATTGTAGTACAACAACTACGACTACAACAACGACGACAACGAATAACTTATTTAGGAAATGGTATTTATACAATTTTACAACCAATAGAGACAGCTAACAGTATTTGAAATAATTGGTCGTAATAGTCAATAACAGAATGCGTGGGAATGATGATATACCACTTATGCGAGATTAACAGTCATTAAGATAACTGAACAATAACAAAGTGTGTGAGAATTGATGATATACAACTTATACGAGATTAACAGTCGTTAAGATAATTGAACAATAACAAAGTGTGTGGGATCCTATCAGGTCTGCAGACTTTGTTTGCACAAACGCACACTTTCAGGACCTGAGATAAAAGATAATGTCTATAAATAATTTATTATTTGCACTTTTACTGCTCAAATCTATGTTGTTGACGTTATTGGACAGTATAGGTTCATATACATCATATCGAAGTAGCTCACCTGCTGGCAGTACAAAAAGTGTAAAATCATCTAACCATCAGCATCGTGTTTCAACGAGTAAAGTTCCGTCTATCGGTGAGTATGGCCGTAGCAGTCCTTTAAATAGCAGACATCGTTTATTTGGTTCACAAAATCTGGAAATGAGACCTAAGCTATCGTGTAAGCCTGTTTCAGGTTCCGTGTCAAGTTTCTCTTTGTTTACGTTTGTTAAGTTGTTTTTGTTGCATTTATTGAACTATATGAAAATATAATGTTCATGTTCGAATTCGTAGCCTGTGAAGCGGCTAGCGACCAGTTAACTTTATTACTTGAAATCTGAGTTAAATTCAACAAAAGTACCCATGAAGTTTGTAAACGTGTTGTTTTTTATAATAATTCACTTGCATGAATTTTCCCTTTGGATTCACACATAATATTGATCATGAAATAAAGAATGTAATTTGAAAATTCCCATTCAGTCATAGAAAAGAAAAGGCGTTCAGCAAAGAGTTACTCTTTTCGGCGATATCATTCTCAAGCTGTACAAATTTTTCTTGGCAACAAAAGGAATATTTCCAAAGATGTGTTAATGCAATTGTTAATTTTAGATATAATAGAGAAGATTTGTAGCTCAGGTGGATGATTTTGGTGTGGTTGTGTTCTCTGAGCTGGATGGTTTGGTTGCGAAGCTTTCATTGCTCTACTGAGCAACATCTTCAGCGCATCGAAGTATGCGCTGAAGATGTTGCTCAGTAGAGCAATGAAAGCTTCGCAACCAAACCATCCAGCTCAGAGAACACAACCACACCAAAATTGTTAATTTTCGACAGCAAATTACGTAATTTAGAAACTAAAATGAAGTTACAAAAGTAGGTTGGGTGACGTAATCTAATTGATAGGGTTCAATGAAAAATGAATGAGAGTTAAGTTAATAAGCTGAGTAGAATTCACTTAAAAATAAACGAAAATGGAGTTAGCAACAGTCGTCATGAGGGTAGAGATTTAATAGAGGGTGGGGGTAGAAAATAATGCAATTAAGAAACAGACAAACAAAGAAGAACGAAGTAAGACAAAATTACGTGTTTGGTGTTAAGATAGATCAGGACCATTGTAGATTTAGTGACTGAACAAACTTCTTTTGTATGCAGAGTTCAGGATTCAATATGTGAATTGCCATTGCTTTTGCAGTTTGAAGAAGTTTAATTCGTGCTCTTTTGGCACGAATGCCAGTGGAAATAAAGCATTTAATAATAAAATCAACAATAAAATGTACTAGATTGCTTGAGAATCCGTGGTTTCTACCGATTCTTCAAATTATTATGAATTAGATAGTTTTTAGTGTGAGACTACCCAGTAATTAAGTGACCACATACCACATACCGAGGTGATTTCTAGACCTTAAGATATTGTATTGAAAATCTTTGGTGATGTAATGACTACTGTCATGCGTCTAGTCCTTGGCGTTAGTGGAGACTGAATTTTACCAGCTAGGTGGCTTACCATAACGGTACACTCTGAATTCTTGTCATTAGATGGTTGGTAGAAATCGACAGGAGAATTACTTGGACCTAGATTTCGTGCTTGTTGGTACTTGTCAGTAACGCGTCTATGCAATCATGAAGAAACTCATGTTCCTTCTTGAGATACAAACCGGGGTCACTCAATGATGCAGTCAGGTAGGTTACCACTGAACTATTCGGGTTCGTGACTTACTTCCTGTAATACTACCTAGTTTAAAATCAAAGTATCCATTCATTTTACAAAGTAAACGTACAGAAAAGTCTTATCAGGAGACTGAAATAAGACTTTGCATCATGCTTCAAAGCGGAACAACATTTTCAGGTTGTAATTTGACAGTCTTCATTTATTATGATGGTTATCGTTATATTTAGCTCATGAGAAACCCAAGTGGTTAACATAATTTAAACTCCGAAATGCAGCCAAACAAAAATATATATTCTAATGTCGGTACTTAATAAGTGTTCTTGACTATTCCTTACTTTTGACTGAGCAATTGTTCTTATCGGTTTCCTCTTCTCAAAATACGTTCGCTTTTACTTAGCTTTCAGTATTACAACATTTGTAGCAGGTAAATAATTCCAAACATTAGAGATAGATTCAAAGAAGTAGTATCTTGGTCTAGGAATTCTGCTGGTCACCTGAGGATCTGGTTTCTATTGGTGTTGATTTTAGGCACAATTAAAATCACACATCAAATGATTTATTCTTCGAATTTATGTATAATCAAATGAATCAATTTCTTTGAGCAAAAGTCCTTAAAAATGTCTCTGAACAAACCTTTTTTATTGAATTCTCAGTTATCATTTCAATCGTCTGCATCTACAGTTCCAAAGAATTATAGAGGTAAATTTAAGATAACGAGTATGCATAAATCGCTTAATGTAATATTGGGTTTTAGGACTTTATAAAATAATATTTTTGATGTTTTCTTTGGTAATTTACAACTCATCATCAATTAGATGAATAATTTAACTAGCTGAACATCGCTTCTAAAATTGTGTGCTTTCAATTCCCATTACAAAATTTGAGCCAGCGTAGGCAACTTTGTGGAACATGATTCTAGACAAAGCAATAGGAAAATGTAACTTATCTGGATATCACTCACAATATGCAAGCTATTAGGAATGGAATCAAAGATAAAATAAACGTCGATGCACTTTGGAATTAGACACCATATTGTTCATTATTAAGGTAATGTAATATAGACTGCTGTGGAAATTGAAAGTAACATCTAAAAGAATAAATTTTATATTAATAATTGGGTAATATTTATAAAACCAAGGTAGTTATGTCAGTGAGAATGTGAGTAATGAAATACTAGTAATCTGCGGAAGTTGCGTTTCATCTAAACTCACTGGACTGTAAACGCTACTAAATTTTAATTTTGACTTTTATTTTAGCGAATCTACAAAGAAGTGATGGTTCCAATGGTTCATTGGAATTGGATCGAAGTACTGAAAATGTTATGAATACATCGAATCTAGTGGTATCTAACCGTAATAAAGGCCAGTCAAATGATATTCAAAATCAGTTTGATCAATTTCAAAATGAAGTTAGACAACAACTACGTGATATTCGACGAGAATGTGATTCCCTTAAAGTATATTTCAGAATTCTTATTTTATCCAGTATTTATTATCTATCCAAATATGACAGTTTATTTTGTTTGATGTTAAATTTTATTTCTATAAAAATTAAGATCTTGAGGTTGATGAACTTACGTTGAAATGATAATTAAGCGTGGAAGTGTATTTAAAGCATTAGCAACTGGATAAATGTTCTAGCTACCTTTCTTTCAAATAAAATAAAAACAATCCTCAGATTGCTTCACACAATGTAATTTAAAATTTGTAGTTATTCATAATCAAGCCGGTAATTGGTATACTAGATAGAGCAGACCATTCATTGGATTACTAAATAAACGCAATATGATTTGGAGTATTTGATAATTAATTAATGTTGATCAAACCAGTAACATACATCTTCCGCAAGAATAGCACGTGTTAGTCACCAAAAACTTGATTTCTAGTGTTATATCTGTGTTCCTTCCTCTGATGGTTTCATCAGTTTCATTCCGACTTCGATAAGCATATCATATCCATGTATGCGTCACTCTGCATCTCTCAACTATGTTCCATCTTTTTATGAATGGGTCAAAGACTTCTAGCTCAGAGCCTATTGAGTGTTATGTTGCTTAGCGGGAATTTGCAAACTGAAGACTTTCTATACTGCACAAGTAATTAAAAGTTTGTAACCTCTTTTGTAATTTTTCAGGATTGCCTAACAGAGTAATATTTTTCTCTTTTACTTGAGTTGATATATTCTTAGTCATAATGCTTGAATATGCAGTGGGATCTGAGTACTTTTAAATGATTTTCTTTCAAAAGTCAGGAAAAAAAATTTGCGTAATAAATATGCACTGCCGGTTCAATGTGTAGATTTTTCAATTTCTCCACCCTGGAATACAAATGTGGGCTCTCTTAAGATTATATTATCTTAGAGGAATAGACGACTTTACACAAAGCACTGGTTGAAAACAGTGAATCTGATGAATTTATACGGTAAAAGTAATAGGAAGGAAACAAATAGATAACCTCAAAACAAAATTATCAGTAAAGTATGCTTTAATTATTACTATTATTATTATAAGAATATGCAAACGACTTTTTAAAATGCTTTTCTTGCTTATTTGTCTGTTTTCTGAAGGAAACGCATTTACAACTTCGAAATGACTGGATAAAAGGACAGAAGAGTTTGGCTGAAAGATTTCAAACTCTTATGGATGAATTAGATGAAATCAAAAAGTTGAGGGCAAACGACGCTGTCGAATTAACTAGATTCCGTACAATATTGATGCGATTAGATGCAAATTATCTCATTAATTCATCTAATCATATTACTCTTGATAATGCTGGTGCTGAAGAGAAATTATACGACAGTGAAAACTTTCTAGGAATTTCAAACGCATCATTAAGTCAAAGAAATGTCAATTTTAAAACAGTCTCTAAAGATGAAGTAGAAGAAGAAGACCGTCGTAATGATCAAAATGACAATATTTCACCAACAGATAAACATTCATTAACTACCACTCAAATGTCCTCACAAAAGTCTTCTATCAAACCATCACTTAGACCTAGACCTGCACCAGCGTATGGAATAGTGAGTACGTCTCGAAGGTAAACATTCAGTCAGCATTTCCTATTATATACTCCCTGTTGATAGACTAAATTATGACAATGGGTAATGTATTATCACCAATAATTTGTGACTTCAAATCATCAATCAGTCACCGTCAAATAGCACTACTAAGCAATTTATGTTTGGATGCTAATGCAGACTGCATACATATCTTTGTGTACATAACTACTTCCCCTTAATTCAGTTTTATTCCTTTTTGATAATATGTTAACTTTCAAAGTCCATTTCGTTTCATATATCTATCCACATCTATCCAATATGCTTTTAATCGCTATAAAGCATTGATTTCTCATGGGGTTATTTGTAATACCTCCATCTTGTTTTAGTGAGTTACATTGTTATTTCATTTATGTTTACTCAACTACTGTCACTTATAACCTAATTTTAATTATCGACTTTTGTTTCCCCTCATGTTTTCTGTTTGTCCCGCTGTTAAAACCTTTCTAGTTTTTGAGATTTTCAAACCATTCTGTGAACAGATTTTTGAGGAATCTAGTTATCATACTTTACTGATTCCCTTACATTAAAAACTTGAATGTGATTCAATACTTTCGAGTTTATGTGTATACTCACTACTCAATAACCTTACCATTGAGTCATATATCCTGCATACTACTAGTTCACCTGATAAGTAGTTTATGTGTTAAGTCGAATATATTTTAATTATAGGTTTTGGTTTGAAAATTTACATAAAATACGGATTTTAAAGTAGTTAATCGTCTCATAGCAAAATAAATCAAAAATGTACATTCTATTATTAGGCTTTCATTTTGATCATTTGGTTTTGAATATTTTCTCTGTAAGGAAAATAATTGAAACACTTAGCGCTTATTAAGTACCTTTGCAGATGAAACAAAAATTATGGTTAGTCAAAGAATACATTACAATGAAATGGTGTTTATGAATTGATTTTCGCACCTAGGTTGGTCACAACACTCCTAGTGTAACAGCAGAAGGGAATACACAGAAGCCCATGAATATTTTTCATCAATCCAACCGCTGTATATATATATATATATATATATATATCACCGAGCGTGAGGTTTTGGTTTACAATAAACGACACGAAACAGGATGTTCAAACATACATAGTATTCGTCAAATATTATATTTGTAAAATCTCAGCGAGATTGGAATGAGTAATTCCAACGTTTCGCTCGGCAATCTGGTCCGAAATTCTTCAGGGAAATTAATCGAAATTAACATAACAGAGGTTTATATATAAAAGGAACATCACTTGTTTTTAAAAACTTTGTCCAATCATGAGTCATTCAACAAGTATCAACAAGTATAATAAACAAAATTGTATGAGCTGTGATCAAAATTTGACTCCGGACTTACAAATATTGGTCTACCTATGTTAAACACTTTAAACAGAGTGTGTATGTGTGTGTGGGTAAACAGTTGTAAAACATTTCTTAACGTCTCCATAAGAAGATATGGACAGTGGAGAATTTTGACCAAGTATTAATAATTAGTGATACATATCCATTTTTTATTTATTAATAAGAATTTCCTATGCATCAGCACACCTTCATATCTGTTCACACTGTTGGTATCTAGAATTTTATGATTAGACGTATTTTCAAAATTTTGATGTTTAGGATTGGATGGAGTTTAGTAGAAGCACCCTGTCGGACGTTTTGCTTTGTCTTCTTTCTGAAGACTGAGCTGCTTTATTCGACCTACTGGAGTTGTCAGGTGACTCGACAGCTACGGATTTAGGATATGCATTCTGTTGCAGACAACGGAGAGTGAAAACACGATGATTGTTCCAGTTACACAGTTTCTTTGTTAATTTAGTTCGATTGCAAAATAATTCAAATGAACTGTCGTCAAGATTTGACAGAACAGTTCTAAAATATTTGGGTGCCGAGTGAGAAGTAGACATTTCGATCACAGCTCATGAAATTTTGTTTATTATACTTGTTGAATGACTCACGATTGGACAAAGTTTTTAAAAACAAGTGATGTTCCTTTTATATATAAACCTCTGTTATGTTAATTTCGATTAATTTCCCTGAAGAATTTCGGACCAGATTGCCGAACGAAACGTTGGAATTACTCATTTCAACCTCGCTGAAATTTTAAAAAATATAATTTTTTACAAATATCTACTTCTCACTCGGCGCCCAAATATTTTAGAACTATTCTGTCAAATCTTGACGACAGTTCATTTGAATACATAGTATTCTGTTGCTAACCCAGTATTGAACTGTGTGAAAAGTATTCTGTTTCTAACATCAAACAGAATGTTCAAATAAATATGTAGTATTCTGTTTCTAATGCCGTATTGAACTGTGGGAATATGTGAGAATCATATTCCGTTGGAACACATTCTCTGTATCACACCACCACACTAGCATTTATAAGACAATATCCTGAACACATTTGACTGATTTCTTGTCTTCAGTTATTCTCAAAGCGCTTTATCCTTTAATAGTGGCTGCTGTAGTTATTCTTGCGAAGATTCATTTTCTCATAAAACGCTTAGTCTAATGAACCTTTAGGACTGTATTGACTCAAAAAGCTGACGAGTTCATGAATAAAAGCTTCATTTGAATTCGCTGGACCAAATTAAGTTGGAATAAGGTAGGAAATAATACTATAAAAGTCTAATTTTAACAAATTTTACTGTTTGTCAAAATGGAAGCTAATTCTTACTCATCAGTATAAACAGCGTAAATAGATCAAGTATATTTGCATAAGCCTAATTCTTTGTTCAGTTGTTGCAGTTTCCGAAAGCCAGTTTACATTATCTTAATGGCAAATAAACTAGGGTTTTAACTATCCTATGGTTTTCAGTCGTTCTTTGACTCATTTCAGTTTTCTTCTGAATGAAACAGATTCAGCATATCATAAATAAACAGCAGCTGTATGTAGAAGCTGGTTGTTCAATACATTATGATATTAATTTGCACTTCGTGGATAATTGAAGTGATCACTGCTACTAGGCAACTTAAATTTTAGTCAGAAACACTTTACTGATGATATAAAGACCACTGTTTACTGATAATAATCACACTAAAGTCCTCATATAACTCTCCGATCTAGCTTATACAGCTCCATTGTTTCTTTGATAATCATACCCATGTATGCGTCACTCTACATCTCTCAAATGTATCCCATCTTTTTGTCATGGGGTCAGAGACTTTTATATCAAAGCCTATTGATATTTTCCCCAAATTTGAGTTACTAGTGTTGTTCCATTCATATTGCAAGTGTTCGGTGTAAATTCGAGCCAGATGAAAATCTGCTATAAAATCATGAAGTGTTTGACTGTTGGTGTCAGCCTCATGGGTAGGTGGGACCCTTGAAATGCTAAGAATCAATGGCTTGAACCTGTTTATAATATGCCTTAAAATAGTTCTCAGTGGCGTCGACGCATACAGTGTTTGTGATCTTCTGAATCCATGAAGTCTTGATATTTCATGCTGTAATTATTCTTTCTCCTACACATCTCAGCTCATTATAGTTTTTCCATGCATTCATTCCCCTTGATGAATTTGAATAAAGCAAGAACAAAAGTGGTTTGTGCAGAATAATATGGTACCATCATTTATTTCGTAGGCTTCTCATCAGCTGCTTACAGCCTAAATAAATTATGAGGTTTGCGTACAGAAAATTTTTAACATACTTGCAAATTTTTACATGTTGCCAGCTGACAAAAAGTTTCACAGTAAGTGAACAGTGCTCAGTACATTGTTACCTAATTTATTAGTCACTCTGTATCTAACTCATATTTCGTCTTTATTACGTAACTCTGTTACCATTGTATGCATACATCTATTTTGTTTAAACCTGAACTGTCTGTGTAAAAACTATATAAGCGCAATTTTCTGAGCACTGTTCACTTACTGTGAAACTTTTTGTCAGCTGGCAACATGTAAAAATTTGCAAGTATGTTAAAAATTTTCTGTACGCAAACCTCATAATTTATTTAGGCTGTAAGCAGCTGATGAGAAGCCTACGAAATAAATGATGGTACCATATTATTCTGCACAAACCACTTTTGTTCTTGCTTCATTATAGTTTTTGTGATTTTCTTTTTTTGATACATTAATGTGATGTATGGACTGAGGTAACTTGAACTACTGCACTTTTGTGGAGAGTTGCATGTCGAAAACTGACTCAGACATAATCATCACGTTTAGAAACTGTCGAGAGATTGGAAAAAAGTCATTTGACAGCTCCTAATCGTCCGTAGTGAAAAAAACATGAATGGAAATGCATATACATTTATTTACGGCTGTTGTTGCAACATAGATTTTATACAAGCCAACTCGTAATAGGAACATTCTGGTTTCCTTCGCTCATCGGATAAGTTGTCGCTTCGAAAAAATTCTGAATATCGGGATGTCAAATCTACCTTGTTTCAGTTAAAAGATTATTTTAGGGAATATCACTCTTCAAGAACTTGACAGTCAAGCTCCAAAACTAACAACTTGAGGTTTAAAGAAGTAATACATAGAAGGGTTTCAGCTGTGGCAGTCAGATGTCTTAATAGTGCAATTTGCTGAATCGCAACAATAAATGAATGTTATACTGCTCAATCAAATAGCACTCTGTACCTTTCAAAACAAGCTGCTGAAAATGCTTCTCATGCCCTTCTGTCCAAGTGAAGATATCACCACAACCTCGAAAGTGAAACTTTGACCTATAATACTCGATCCTTTATTGATTGCTAACATGACGTCTGTGATAATCAGGTGACAGAAGAACTTTCTTTGAGTGATTCAAATCATTTCTAAGCCGATAACGGCTAATTGGGAAAAGACCTAGTTTCGTCAACCTTTCATGATATAGTTTATTCATTGACAAATAGCCCTGTTCTTCTCTCTTCTTTGGGCCATTTTCAAGAGGTTTACCGCCTTTTCAAGTAACGGAGGGACAATAATATTAAGCACTTACTTATTCCCTGGTGCGTTTGCGTTCGCAGTTGCACCACTTGCATTTTTTAGATTGGAAGACTTCCTCTTAATTTGTGCCCAGTCCTTCAAAGTTTTGAAAACTGTCTACAACCTGTCTAAGTCACTCAAGCATTTTATTTTTCTACTAATCTGTCATCAGTGTGAATGAGATCCAGCAGTCCAGAAGACAAAATAGATGGCTGATGAAAATCAAGTATAGGTCTCTTCGGAACTCGCAAGATCGAGCCTCTACGAGGTGATCGGACACGTATAACTTCGATACAGAATTATCTTCGTCTAAGTTACGCCACTTATGAGAGAATCGGCCAACTAGTATCTGCCTTGACCCTCATTTGACAGAGCGGATTGTGCGTTAGGCGTCAAATGCTTCCGCGAAATTTAGAAATATCTTATGGACTGGGAAATTCATATCTTAGCATGATGTCGATTTATTCCACGCTAATAATAGATTTGTTGCAAAGAATCCAACCTTTTTGACGGGTTGTTCATTTCTGACAAGGAGTTTCCTGGTATGGAATTCACTAGGCTTTACCATAGCTTGGATGCAGCTAGAACGAAGGCTACTGGTTTATAATGTTTAACCGATCTCTGCCCTTGGAGGTGTGAGAAAGAATAGCTGTCTTCAGCTTCTCCAGTGATTTCCATGAATCGGTGCAGTGTTAGTACAACTCAGAAAAAAGCCCACAGAGAGCCTCTGTGCACTGTTTGAAACAAATGGCCGGATACCGCCACAATCTGGTGACTGAGTTTTAGTAGTGTCTCTAGAACCACTGTGTAGTTCGTGGAGAATGTAGCCAATAAGTCCACGCTTGTTTATTTAGTAAAGCTACTCTTATTACCTGCATTGTTGTCCAGCCATCTGTCAAAGGTCGAAATGATCGCCCCAACATA